CGGAAAGTACCGGGGTGCAACGGAAAGTACCTGAGTTTTGTTTACATTTCTTGCTGTATGCACAAAATGTGCTCAAATACTGTCTTGCTCCGGGTTTTCCAAGTAACCGGTGCTAACATAAAGTTCCCGGGTGTTAAAGGAAAGTGGCGGGGGTTTGTTTACATTTCTTGCTGTATGCACAAAATGTGCTTAAATACTGTCTTGCTCCGGGTTTTCCAAATAACCTCCGGGTTTTCACAAAAACCTTCCGGGTTTTCCAAGTAACCGAAGATCATTAAAACGAAAAAGTACCGGGAATTTTAAATTTAATTCATTTGCGATCAATACTGTGCTCCTGAAGGTCGTTCAAGGTACCAGGTTTTCCTGATAACCGAGGGCCATCAAAACAAAAGTATCAGGTTTTCCTGCTAACCAAAGACCATTAAAACGTAAAGTACTGGATTTTTTAAATTTAATTCCTGATTGCGGAAATTTTGCTCATCTTCTTCCATAGCTTGTGTAGTGTGGTAAAAAATAAAGGAAAAAATTTATTGATGGGGCTGGAATACTGAGGGTGGTAAAGTGGTGCGTCTTGAAGACTTTACTTACTACCCATAGAAAACTGCCATCATCCTTGTTAGTAGTAGCACCAGCAGCAGCATCACTGCAAAATACTCGTTCCTATGTCATGTTTCCTTTTTACTCATATTTGTAACTGACTTACCTGTAGGAATATTTTAATGATACATCAGTCATGGATAAATAGATTCAGGGAAGGGAGCATACAGACAGCAATGTGATCTCATAACTCTGTTTTAAAGGAAAAAAGTTGTGACACACGCTGATAAAATATTCTTGGGCTATCAGCCATGTCTGATGACAGGGACAGAGATGGTCCGTGCGACATCGGTGATATTTAACCAACCGACACGGCTGAAAGCCAGAGCAGATTTCATCCGCTGTAGCTGCCATGGAAGCTTCAGCTCTTACGTTTAATGTGAGGTTTACACTGTAGTTAAAAAGGTAAAGCAGGGTAATTTTATTTCAGATGTACACAGTATTTGTTACATGCCACAGGAAATTGAAAATGTGAGTAGCCATACATGAATAGAAAGCTTACAGCATTTTTCTGAACTCTTATAAAAAACTGGCACTTTTGATATAATATCACTGTTAGAGACAGAAGTTATGGCTGCCATAGGAATTCTGTGTTAGTGATGTGATACAATGGCAAGCGAGCTCTGTACGCAGGACACAACTGGACGATAAGCAACAAATATTTAAATATGGATTCCAATTAACATTATAACATTTCATAATGTGGGATACTTCATTGGGAAGTGTATCTGTCTCCTCCTGGTGACAGAGCTTGTACAAGGGCATGCTGAAAGTAATGACTCCCAATTTCTTTTCCATAACAGCAATTTCATTGAAACAGAAATGGCTACCTTCCTTGAACTTTGTTCCCTATTTTATACAAGTACTTCTCAAACAACCACTTCTGCAGTCCAGCCACAGCTTACATATTTCATGTACAGGTATTCGTCAATTAATGTACTAGTTGTGTTCCCAAAAGGAGTCACAGGGGGTGCAATGACATAAATGACATCAGGTACGCCGAACTTTCTCTTCTCCCCTTGCATTCCTCCTCCACACCTGCACAGCATCCTAATCCCCCCTTCTTACCTCTCTTGATGGGCCAGCAATTACTTCATACTAAAGCAAGTGTTACAGGTCTAAATTAATTGACTGCATTAAAGTGAAACAACATGTTTCCAACTTGCATATACCAAAGAGTACCTGTACTTTTGTAAGGCTGGCTGGACAGAACTCTGCGTCTTGTTGACAGAACTACATTTTCACCACTGTCTTACGGAGACATTACTTTTCAGCACAACCTTCCACGATGAATGTTGCTAATACCAAAGCCCACCAGTGGACACAGCATGATCCACAGTCTTATCCCTAGTTTTGTCAAGATCTGGTTTGATATCTTCCTTCCACCACTTTTGCTTTGCCAAGTGGATGCGTTCCAGCACATGTTCCAACAAATTTATTCTACGTATTTGTGTTCAATTATTTATTGGAGTCCGGCGTAACACAACAATATAACGGTCAAGGTTAAAATTACACAGCTACATGTTTCAGCCTTTTAAAGCCATCATAAGGCAAAACACATCATTACTATATTCAGACAGAATTAGTAATCATGTGCTTTGCCTGATGATGGCTTTAAGAAACCAAAATGTAATTTTAGCCTTCACCGTTATGTTGTTGTGTTACGACTGACTCCAATAAAGAATTGTATACAATAACACAACAGGATGCATGGAAATGAAAAGTATTTGTGTTCCCCCATCTCAGCTACAAGTCCCTGATGTAACTTTCCTGCCAAAACTGGAAAGCTGTATAATCAAGTTCCTTGGTGGAGACATTGTGTGCTATAACACTGTGTTGTAGTCTGGCAGGCGGATACCAGTGTGCTGGTGAAACACACCAAGCTGCAGTCTGATAGGTGGATACAAATGTTTTGGTGGAATGTGTGGCTCCATCTTCAGGATGACTCCAGATATCAGACATTTAGATTATGAAGGTACAGATGTTTGAAGTCACAATATGAAATCATGTCATCCACAAACAGCAGTTTCATTTGGCTGATGATACGGGATATGATACAGTGTACGTTGGTAGAAGTTTAATGACATTTCAGAGGAACACAATGCCTTCAGCTTCAATTTTCCATCCTGAAGATGAAGTACGAAGGCAAATCGAAAAGTCTTTGCCCCTGCTTTTATTCAGCCACAATAACACACATACAGAGAAATCAAAGTACAGGCAGTGTTCTAAGTACCTTTGACTATTTTCCCACATAGTCACCACCCTGGTTCAGGCATTTGTCCCATCACACCACTAGTTTGGAGATGCCGCTCTTGTAGAATTTGGCTGGTTGAGAGTGGAACCACCGCCAGACAGCGGTTTTCGCATCGTCATTGGAAATGAACCTCTGGCCTACCAGGAACTTCTTCAGTGGACCGAACACGTGGTAATCACTGGGGGTGAGGTCTGCACTATACGGTGCATGCTCCATAATCTCCTGTCCGAATGACTGCAGTCACGCCCGGGGATTCTTGTGGACGTTGTCGTTCTCCTCCATGACAACGCCAGGCCTCACGTGACAAACAGGACCGCCGCCCGACTGCAGTCATTCGGATGGGAGGTTATGGAGCATGCACCATATAGTCCAGACCTCGCCCCCAGTGATTACCACATGTTTGGTCCACTGAATAAGTTCCTGGCAGGCCAGAGGTTCATTTCCGAAGATGACGCAAAAACCGCAGTCCAGCAGTGGTTCCACACTCAACCAGCCGAATTCTACAACAGCGGCATCTCCAAACTAGTGGTGTGATGGGACAAATGCCTGAACCGGGGTGGGGACTATGTGGAAAAATAGTCAAAGGTACTTAGAACACTGCCTGTACTTTGATTTCTCTGTATGTGTATTTTTGTGGCTGAAAAAAATAGGGGCAAAGACTTTTCGATTTGCCCTCATATATTTGCTGCAGTGTTGGTTAAAACAAATTACAGAGCATTACATTTCAGAAGACTTGTCCTCAATAATATTGCAGAAGTCAGGATGTGATAGAATGCATGTAGTACAAGTCTACCCTTACAAAGGTGGCAGTACGTTCCTCCAAAATGTTGGGGGACTCCTACCCACCTATACAGCGTCACTTCCAACTTCCTCATGATCACTGCCATGAATATCTCAAATCTCGCACGTAACACTGGTGCTTGTAATGACTGTACTTCCATTTATGAACAAGAAATATTGACACACTACAACCATACAGTAATTGTGCTGTACTGATTAAACTGAACTGTGATCAGTGCAGATGAATTACATTACATAATGAAATCAATTTGTCAGAGCTTTGTTTGAACAAGTCTTCATCACAGTAGTGAGTCTGTTAGGAAATCTGTACAAATTAATAAGAAATGGCAAGTCTACCATTGCAACCATTTAAAGCTATCGGCCTGATGCTTCAGTGGCCCTGCCTGGGCTCCAACTGCACGTGGCCACCTCAAGTTTACAGTGAAAATTTGAGTGCATACAAATATGTCACGAAATTTAAGCATTTTTATATCATTTTTCCTAAACATGATATACATTTAAATACTACACCAAGTGAAACTATTTTACTGTACCTTTCCCAACAGTATACTGACCAATAAAGAAACAAAATCTTCAGTTTCTTTTGATAGGTGTGTCATACCTTTTGTTTGAAAACCATTTCCTGAAAAATTA